GCTGCAACAATAATATTCACGACTCAAGTCAAAGGTACTGTAACACGATTCTGTGCATATGCGGCGTTTTGATTTCTGGTCTGGCGAACCTTTTTTCAAAGTTGGCTTTCGGTGAAGAAAACCTCTTCCATCGAACCTGAGAGGCCTGAGAAAGCTATGATATCAGTATTGAAGAGCGGTCTGTGCAAAAAAAAAATAGTTGGTTGGCTGGTGTGTTGTTTTCTAGGTCATTGTTCAGTGTCTTTTCAGTCCTTTGTATAACTTCATTTGGTGATTACACCCGTACCCAACAAATGATATCACAAACTGTGCAGATAAGTTCAAGTTTTCTTTATTTGCTGATTACACCAGTATCTTGTACAGAAATAAAGGCCTTAAATCCTTAGAATTAGAAGTAAATGTTGAGTTGAACAAAGTCTGCGAATGGTTGACAGAGAAGAAACTAACTCTAAATGCTAAGAAATCTAATTATGTAATATTTCGAAATTATAGAAAGTAGCTATCTTTTCAACCAACGATAAATATTTTTGACAACGATAAAATGTCATATTCACCATTAGAATGTAAAGATTATGTGAAATATCTTAACATACTTATTGACAAGAATCTTTACTGGAAAGCTCATATTTTTCTATAGTTGCTTTTAAAACTAGCAAGACCATTGGCGTGATAGCTAAACTTTGTACCCCGTTCTATTATTGTGAAGTTATATCATTCTCTTATTTTCCCCTACCTCGCCTATGGAATTAGCTCGTAGGGTCAAGCGCCACAGTCAGCATGGTGGATAAGCTCTCCTTCAAAAGCGTGCTATACGTTTAATAGACTTTTCTCCAAAGTGTGAACACGCTATTCCTTTTTTTGTTAATCTTAATTCTGCCTGTTCATTTTCGTTATGTCGAATCTGTTTCTTTTTTAATATATGATGTCCAAAACAAACTAGCCCCGGCTCGCATTCAAAATGTATTCACCCATGTCTCAGATATCCATTCCTACAACCCCAAATCAGCAACTATACCAACAAATTTTATGTCATGTCTTCTCATCTTGAACAGCTAAAGAATTCATTTTCCCGATTTGGCGTGCGGCTATGGAATGCTCTATCTGAGAATACTAAAAAGTTTGCCAGAAGAAACGTATTTAAGAAAAAAGATACATCAAACACTTATTAATATTTTTAAACAAGAGAATTTGTACCTTACACCATCTTCAATTCTTGAAATAATTAAAACTTGTAAAACTGTAATCCTGTAACTACGACCAGTATACTGAAATCTCTTTCTTTTCTCTCTTTTCTCTTTGTAGCAATTTTTGTTTTGATATTTATATTTGCAATTTTTCATTGCTGCTATCATTATTTTGATTCACTGTTTATTGTAATCTTTAACTGCTGCTTATTGAATCCTCAATTTGAGAAGAGTTTAATAAAGTATGTTTTTTTAATGATATTAAAAAGTATATAGTATTATTGTTATACGGCAGTACAAACGTCTGGATGCCCAGAGTAAAAATAAAAAAAGCTTTGGCTCGGGGGCAAACCGTAACCAGCTGCAGCATCGACTAAAATTTGTGGTAACTGGTTAAAAATGATTTGATATGAGTGTCATAAAAATATATAAATAAAGAAAATAAAATCTTAAAAAAGTTATGGATGTCTTAATTACAAAATAAAACTGTTCGTAAGGTGAAAAACATCGTTCTTATACAGCCTCCTCCTCAGGCGCTTCGTTTTTCGCATAGCTGAGGCGAGCGCGAAACGAGTGACTGGTGATGAACCGCAAGGGACCATGGGAAGGGTACAGACGGCACGTTTAAAAGAGAGACGTCTGGGTACGAGGCAGGTTCTTATAGCTGTCCATTTTCCTGTCTGAGCGTCTAAGGTATGTAATAAAATTTCGATAATGTACAAGATAAAGTATCTGTTAAAATAGGTGTCCAAAATTCCTGTAGATTTCTAAGCGCTCAGCTCGAACATTCTAGCAATGTGTAATGAACTAGACAGGATTGCCTTTTGCATTTGGCGTATAATTGATTCACACTTGTCTCCTACAAGCTCTTTAATATTTTTCTCAACCTCTTTCGAAACGCCCCCAAGGACATCCGTCATGATGTTATACTGATTGACCTTATACTCAGGATATCGGTTCGTCAGCTCTAGTCTCAGTTGACTGTACTTCGTTGTCTTCTCGAAATCTTTAGATTCTCTATTTTCCAGCCGTGGACAGCTCATTTCAATCACTCTGACTTGCTTGCTGGTCTTGTCAATGACCGTGGCGTCGATGATGATGATGATGATTATTATTATTATATGTTATATCGGTTTTTTTTCTAGTTACCAAACTCTCACATTCGTCTAAATCGTTTCTCATTAGTGGCTCATTTAGTTTTTTCCATTACCTTTGTATCAAATTTCAACTGCTACTCGTCGTCGACTATAATACGTACGACTCTCCGACTGTTCTTTAAACCCCCTGAAGAAAGAAGGCTTGTCTGTCCGAAATATCGGGAACCTCAAGTCGCTTTCTCTTTGCCGTTTTGTTATTTATGTCTTTATTGATATCTGGAGGTCTGGGACCAAGATGATTAATTCGGAAGTGCGCATGCCTCAAGCCAAAATAGGGATTGCGTTTTTTGTGAAATGAATTAGTCACGGAAATTAGTCGTGTACAAACACTGTTAGTTGCGAGGCGATGAAACGGAAATGCTTCTGTTACCAATATGAACAAATTAAAATCAACGATGCTGAGTTTCCTTTCATTATACGACAACAAATACAAACTACAAGTACCAACATATATCATTTCGAACTCTCTTTCAGCAAGTTATTGTGAGTAGACTATTTCACTGATTTCTTCGCCTAACGTTTTGCCGTGTTTAAGAGCAGCAACCATCAAACAAATTTAAAGCGTTATGCTTAGGCAAAGGGCTCTTGGGCTTTGCCTAAACAAACGTTAGAAGAGGAAATAAAATCGTCTAATTAATACAGGACAAACTGCTCTTTATAGCACCATTGATAAAGTTTTGAACAGTCTTAAGCTTCTTTACAACACTGTTGTCAAACGCCCAAATGTTCATTACAGTAAGATACGCCACTTATGTGTCAGTCCTTTATTTATTGTTTTAAAAATCCTTTTGTTTAGTTACTCGCCGGGTCATTTGACATGGCCTTAAATGCAGCGAAGCGGGAAGGCTCTAGAAAATTGGCGGGCTCGCCGCATAATCCATTACGAAAACCATCAAAAATTAATTTAGCAAACAGAAGATTGTGAAAATTGAAAACGAAAAAGAAATTAAAGATTTAACTCGCGTCATGGTGAAGAATTTTGCGGACTCTTAAATCGCTCTTTCTTTAGCGCGCAAAGGTCCGAAAAGTTGAATAAGGTCTCAAGATTGGTCACTTTTCTTCTTAATTTAAGAAAATGTATAAATTAAAAGTAAGACAAATACAATTGCCGCTTGTACACTCTTTACAATTATTGCTTTAAAACTCTGTCTCGTTGCATCCAATTAAAAATCAGTTAGCGTTTGAAAGGAACTACATTAAAGATAGATTAACTTTAACCGTTGTATAGAGCAGTTACTGAACGGTTTGTAAAGTGCCTGTTCTTATAAGAGCTGTGGTTGTGAAGTCGATATTAAGACATGTTCTGTTTATGTACAGAAAAGAAACAGAGACAAATTTGTGTTTTGTTTGTCAGTTTACACTGCGGCGAAAGAAGAAATGAACGCAACTTTCTTCATTGCCAAGTAATGCAAATTAGGTGAAAAATGAGTTTTAATAGTGGCTTAATTTGGATCGGGTGCATGGGGGGATTTTATTGCTCGAGTTTTGTAAAGTTAGTGAGCGTCAAGATTCACGTGTTTGTATTGTAATAAAACGCGTTTCAAATAATACGGCGTTGAGAAAACGACTTGCGGGTTATGTACAAAGTAAAACTGCTAATCTTTTGTGTTTTCGGCATTTTTTGAAGTTCTTTCATATGACAACCAAGCATTACACAAGTGATATGGTGTCGGCTCATTTTGCTTGTCGGTCGATCTTTTGAGAGCTAAGCAACTCTGGCAGGTCACAAAACAAGTCCACAGAGTAATCCGCAAATTATTCCCACGATGTAAAGCAAAATTTAGTCTTCATTTATTCCTGACGCTTCCAAATGCTGTCATGTGGTTTGACAAATCGGTAAATAGAGACCAACTCTCAAACATTGAACGTTCTGTTAACTTTGTAACAAGTCAGGAGACTGATCGGCAGTTTTATGATATATGTTTGAAGACGGTTTATGCCAAGTAAACTGGCGCCGAAACTATCACAAAGACTGGAGTTTACCGTTTGAAACTTAAACAAAAAGGTATTTAAGGCCTAAGCTTGGACTAAATTATGACATAATAGGTTCTTTTTCTGCTGAAGTTGTTTCAATTTCTTTCTCAAAACCTATCGATACCTTGCGTTCAAGATGGAAAATGCTAATTTTCAAACATATTGAACTTGTACCGATTTATGTTCACAGTGCGATTCAGAGATTTGTAAACAGCGCACACAATGAGTTCAGTTTTACAGAAGAAGCCTATAAAAATATCAATCACGCCTTTGCAAAGGGGTATTTGTTTGTTTACTTAGACACAGTAAGACCCTCGTTGCTCTGTATTGAAATTAACTTGTCCCCAAAGACAAAGAATGTATCGCCAATAAAATCAGCAATAACAAAACAGTTAGTTTATTCAAAGAGCTTTAATTACTTTGTGTGGGAGGAATTATGAACTATATCAAGCAATATTGTATCTTTTGAGCCACAGGTAATTAACACGTGCATATTGCCCCTATATTTAGCGTGTACTATCACTCCCTACAGCCTTGACTCTTAATTGTTAAGCACAACAGTCCGCGAGTGCGCACTGGTTACGAGCGACTTGACCGGTTAATGAGAAGAGGTGTTAGACGTTCAGGGCTGCAATTCAATAGAACGGCAGGTCGCAAAGACTGTCACAACTTTGGATATCATAAGATGAGCGCAAATGAAACCAGTTCCTCCATTGAAACGTCCAAGACGTCAGAAAAAATAAAGAGGCCGTTAAACGCTTTCATTCTCTGGTCTAAGAAGAGAAGACGGGTCATCGCAAATGAAAACCCACAAATGCACAATTTTGATATTAGCAGAAAGCTCGGCTTGGAATGGCAGAAGCTGTCCGAAGAGGAAAAATCGAAATACTTCGAGGAGGCAAAACGCTTAAAAGAAGAACACAAACAGCTTTATCCTGATTACAAATACCAACCAAGAAAACGTGATAAAACAAACAAACGGAACAAGCTACTACACGGACCACCATACCAGTTCAGTTTCTACCCGCATGACACCGCGGGGTTTTTTGATACGCGGTATCACTACACCGTGGCTGATGCGCGACCGTCCTTCCATGCGGAAAGCCTACTACCGCATCCAGAATCCTCAGGAGGCAACGAAGATATCTCACACAGCGCTCACGCCAAGCCAACCCACACAGAGCACAACCCTCACAGTGTTATTTACCAGAGCTTCCGACAAAACTATGATGGATTTGTACCGTACAGAGGTTTAGACGCTCCATACATTCCACTCCGCCCTAATTTCGATTTCTCGCATCTCAACTGGTACAGTCCGCCTTCTGCCCCAGGACGGGTCGGTCCCGTTTCTTACTGTAGCCGAATGTACCCGTGGCATGCCACAAGACAAGGTGACTTTCATTCATGAGTACTCAGTATTTGCAACCTTCAGCTAACTAATCGCGCTCACATGCAGACCAAGGTACAGTAAAGGAATAAGGAGTCTTATAATCCGTAATGAAGGATATTTATGTTATGTTGTGCGGTTTATTACTGGTCTTGAACTGGTGAAAAGACTCTTTAAAGTATTTTGTAAGGTTAGAGTAGCGTATAGTCTTAGCCGAGACACAAAATCGAAATTCTTTGAGTAATCGGCAAGCGGAAATCGATTGTAGTTATTTTTTCAATCTCGTATTTGTAAAGTACAAAGGTGTAAAACATAGTACTTTACTTTTCGTAAAAGTTCGTTGGTAAATGTGCTGGCTGTACAGTTTTAAAGACACCAGTTTGTTCTGATAGGTTTTTCGCGAATTCCAGAATTACCGAACAAAAAAAAAAATGAAAAACCATGAAACCAAAACATAATCTATTATCTCTTTTGCCGTTTAGTTAATGAGAAGTAAATCTCACTTGATATCGAAAGTATTTTATAGGATGTTAAGAATGAAAAAAAATAGATTCGCATTTATTAATAAAGAATAACAAACGGGCTCTGAAAAAAAGATTTTCCCAACTTATGGAGCCTCCTTGCACATTCAACGAAGGGATAAATTTAGCTATAAGTCCTATGTGAAGGAGTCAGTATTTTGTTAAACATTAGTGTTAAAACACGTGGCAAAAATTGCAGAAATATCAAACTTGAACAGAAGTTTTTTTGGTCGCGCCGAATGAAGCTAATGCAATAACCAGTTAACTATGATCCTGTACAGAGACAAGGACATTAATAGTTGAATTTTGTTCTTCGATATGCCTAACCAGATTTGACTAGTCGGTACAGTAAAGGACATCTCTTTTATTAAAATCGTTTTATAGCTGCTAGAGTCAACAAACTACCAGTGCGACTCTTCTGAAGCTACGAATAGAAAGATCCAGGGTAGAAACCGCTGTTGTGTTTTGTTTTCATCTTCGTAAATACATGAAAAACGTTTTGAACAGGCGTATAATATTCTGAAAAAGCAGGTAATAATCACCAGTACCATGTCAAAAATACCTGAAAATTAAGGAATTAAGCGCCGCATTGGCGCGCGTTAAATCGTCATTTAGAGTATTATTTCTTGTTTCATAAAATAATGATTTTGCCAAGTTGATCTTTGATTGGTAAATGAATGTTATGGGTAGAAACGTTTGGAGATAGTGCCTCTCGTACATAGTTCTTTGTTTCGAGTCAGAGTATTATACCATCGGAAATAAATAATAAGCATCTTAGAGGTGTAAGATACCAGAAAACATCCTATGTCCATAGTTGTATTCCTTATATAAAAAAACGATTATAACCGATAATAAAATGGAACTTTATTAAATCTTCAAAGTCTGTAAAATTTCTTGCTTCATAAAACGTTTTTTGTTTGAAAAGGAAAATTACTCTCACAGTGAGATCCTAAGTTAGGTATTTGAAACGTCCTGATTTAAAAACTATTTCTCGCACATTTCGTAAAGAAAGTTTTTCCGTAAAATCATAAGATCACGTTAACCGTGGTATAACAGCAAAAAAAAAAAACATTAGGAAAAGGCGTTGAGGAAAGATGACCTCAATCCAACGCAGTACAAATTGATTAATGGCGTTTTTAGTCAAAAAGATAGAAAAGTGTTTTATTTTTAGGTTAGTCTAGAAGGTCCTTAAACGAAGGAACATCCCTTTTAAACGAGAATATCTCGGACAAGAAGTATTTCCCTTGATATTATCATCCTGCACAATACGTTAAACACTGCATAACAAAATTGGATAATGACTTTCAAGCCGACTTCAAAAATTCACTCCCTTTGTTTACCTTTTATCCACGATAAGATTTCTACTAAATGACTTGTGTTAACTTACACGCTGGATGCGCTAGCCCTCGCTTTAATGGAAGTTCTTCAGCTTGTTGCTGCTTGGTTATAACTCAGAAACTGATTCTTCATTAGAGTCTGCGCTGATATTTTTTGAATTTTCGTTCCCCGTATCAAACCAAAAATACAATACTAGCAATTATGTGAATACCATTTGTATAATACGCTTTGACGCCCTTTCTGTAAGTCAGACTCTACATATTGTACATAAAACAGAAGCCTTTTATTATGCCGCACAGAATAGTTTGCTTCATTTGTTGTCTGTTAGCAGCGTTTTCTATTCAGTAGAACTAGGATATTTAGCAATTAAGGTTTTTTCATACGGCAAGGCACTATTCACTATGTATAAAGACACCTTAACTGTTCCCTGTTGTCGGTTTCGCGGGGTGCGTGCGGGTTTTTTCATCCGTACAGGTGTACGGCGGCTGTTTAAACTTTTAATTTAATTTTTAATAAAGAGTTTGGAATTCAAAGTCAAGGAGTGCTGCAGTATAATAATGTCAATGTCTTGCCGAGGCATGTGTTGATTTGAAGGTGGGGAACCAAGAATGGTTTATAATAGCTGGATTGAAACAACTGAAAGAACGAAGTTTGAAGAAGGGATTGAGGCAAAGTGTTTGTCAATAATTGTTTTAGGCAGCTGTAATTATAAAAGGTAAAAAGGAGGTTTTTTTACGAATACCGAGTGCGATGGAAAAAAAAACAGTTACCTAGATGTAAACACTATCATTCTGAATGATTTCACACACAAAAAAACGGTTTTCAAGACATCATGTGCACAAGGACCATGTATTACACCTATAAATTCAGTTGAGGGAGTCTTAAAGTAAGATTGTTGCATTTGCTGTAAATTTTCACTTCGAACTATGGCAGTTTTTTTTAATGATTTGAGCTATGAATAAAAAGGTATTGTTCATAGTCTTGAATGTGGAAATGAGTTTCAATGACGAGGAGGACTCGAAAGTCATTACTACTTTGACGTATCTTTTTGTGGGGTTCATCCCTTGGAACGATGGTAACTAAACAGCTCCAATCATTGTTTGATTGCAAGTATTTAGAAACGAAAAAGTCCAGTACAAGCCACTACAACATGAAGAAGTGAGCTAAATAAAAGGACAAAGTCAGAACTCGCGAATTAAGTGGATTCAAGTATAGTCTAATCGCCGACATGTTTTTAGTAGGACAAATCAGGAAACTTCGAGCATGTAATTTCATGTCTTTTTTTTTTTTTTTTTTTTTTTTTTTTTTTAGTCCCCCCCCTTTCATATATTTGATTTTTTTTTTTTTTTTTTATATTTCTTGTCAATCGCTGAACAAACATTTACCACAAATAAACGCCCCCCGGTCTTTTTTCCACTGATCTTGTTTCTTTTCTGTTTGTTCTTTTTTCTAACCATCCACTAAGGATTATCCCTGACACAACACAAACATTTCTCTAAATCACCCTCACACTCCCATCATTGTTATTAAATTAAATAAAAAAAAGTAAAAAAAAAAAAAATATTATAAAAAGAAAAAAAAAGAAAATAAGAAAATATAAATTATTTTTTTTTTTTTTTTTTTTTTTTTTTTTTTTTTCTCAGGCCTCCTCATCACATAAATTGCATTGCTTGTTTTATTTTTAAACTCTATGGAAGCATCTGAAAGCAAACTCTGCACAAATCTAAGCCAACGTGTGCTTTTCCAAAGTGCCGCCTTTCTTTTCGGCTTCGGTACTTTTTTACTAACCAATTAGCTGGGAAATGACCAAATGTACTAAACTCTTACGTTTTAACTCTCGATATTATAACTTCAGAGCGGGACAAAAGCGTCGTTAAAAACAAAATGTGCGAGCCTAGTATGTGCCCTAATAAGGGATATTCAATGAAAGATAATCTACCCTTTTCTACTGGGGCGCCACAAAATTTCTCGCTAAGTCAGTTGCTTTATTTTTCTTAGTTCATATGTTCAGAGAACATTACCAGCTTTGATCTCGAGTGCTTTTATGCTTCGAGTGCCTTTTTGTCACGATAAACTGTACAAACGTCGGAGAACGGGAAATTGGACAGGATTGTCGATACCACCCAGGAACTACATTTTTTTTATCAATGACCGTTTTATTTGCGCTTCTTTCTTCCACCCTTAAATGATTTGGAAGGCTGAAAATTTTAATGCTGGACATTTGTTTTGTTATCTTGATTCTGGGAAATTAATTTGGAACATATTACTCCCCTCAAGTGTGTTTTTGCAGGTCTTTGTTATTTATACAAAGATGTTTTAAAATTACTGAACTTGATCTGTACAAAATAAAGCCTCGTTTTCTCTGTTTTCTTGGATGCGAGTAAATAAAGTTTAAATCCTCCTGATCACAGAATTTACTAAAAAAAAAATGAAAAATATATATCACCGTCATGATTGGTCTTTTGGCATGCTTGGTTGGTCTTGGTAGAGAAATTGCACAAGACTTTCAAAACGCTCTCTATTTTGCATATTCAATATTCAGTTTTACAGTTTAAGTGAAAAGTAAAAAAAAAAATGTAACCGTCAGTTGGTTGACTTGGCATATGAAGCAGTCTACAAACACTGTGGCTGAAACGCTACAAAACGCAACCGTAGAACCACCGGTTTATTAAATGTTTTGCAATCATTCTTAAATAAATAGTTGTAGAGCTGTAACCGGCCTGTTCTTTATGGCTGTTTCCTGTGCTTGCACAGAACTGATAGTCAGCGAAACCCTACTTATACAACGAAAATCTTCTTAAAATATCTAATAAAAATTGTTTTGCCTAAAACACTTGCCATCAACATTCGTTTAGAATAAGCATTTCTTGGAATGAACGACTCTTGCAAAACTGATGTGTCAGTAGAGACTGATTTTTTTTGTCCTTTTGGAGTTGTCTCGATAATTGTTCGGGGCACGGGTAGCCCCCCGTCCAAACGGATAACGTGCTCCTGTTCAAAGAGGGGAGCATAGTAACCTTATTCCAAAGCAATACTACGCAAGTCCATTATCATCTTACTGCAAAATATCTCTTGATTCTAAGAAAATAAAAGCAACCATTACCGATTACTAAAGATCGCTATGCTTCTTTGTCTCAAAAGATTATTTCCTAAAGGTAAATA